ATGTTCTCTAGGGACTTCAGAATTCTCTGTGCAGGCCTCTTATCCTGCACTTGAACCTCAGTGCGTTTCATGCTCCATTTGTGTCTGTCTCCCCTGCGAGGCTGCGACGAGTGCCACGAGAGTGGGAACAAGTTCTGTCTGGGTCTTCAATCCTTGTATTCAGTGAATGTTGCTGAGTAAATGAGTGAATCGGGAATGCAGGAATCCTAGTGCAAGGTGTGACCAGTGTTCACGGTGAATGATTCTCTCTCTTTCTTCCTTCTTGAACTAATAACTAGCTCTAGTCTTATGCTCCTGGATTGTTAGCTCTGTGGGAATCCCACTTCCTTATTCTTTAGATCCAAGACCTGAGACCCAGAATAATTAGCCTATCTGCCTGAGAGACACGAGTCAGGGCCAAGGCCCCCGTCTAAGCTGATGTCCTGCTCTTCAGAACCTTCTTTGTCCTTGGGGTCACTTTGGTCTCCATCATCACTGTCAAGTCAATATCATGATAGACAGGAAATAAAAAGAAAACAGGAGTGGGGGAGGGGTTTCTCTCCATACTTGCTTTAGATGAACAATAATAAACCTGATTCTAAGCAATTTAAAAGCGACTGATGCACTGAGCCTTCACTGGCGAATATAGAGAAACACATAGTCCACTGCAGATATTTTCAGTGACATTGTCTGGGTGGACCGAGCCTGGTTTTACCATTGGTTCTCCAGCTGTTTAGCAAACTGTCGAGCACATTCAATATTTGTATTTGTTGAATGACTCATTTGAATGCCTACCATGTCCCAGGACTGCATGCTGCCCCAATTTAATCCCCAGGGTCTTAAGTATTATGCCACACTGATTACAACAGGTGGCTTGGTTACGTGGGGGCTTACCCAAGGCAGATTTGGTTTTAAATCTAGCTGGTGACATTCTGTGCAACCGCCCAATGCAGTATTCTGCATCTAGTGAGTCTTTAGTAATTATTAATTAATGAGGGTGCTTTTGCAGTCTGAATGCTTAAACCACGTGCCCTCTAACTAGGATGGGAGTTGCAGCACATTTTAATTAAATACTGACAACTTTAATTCTGATTGCTCATTCTAATACTCTTGAGCTGATAGCACCAAACTAATGGCTTGTTCATTTCAGAAGATATTAGCAGCAGGGTGCTCCCTTTTACCCAAACATAGGATCATAATAATTAAAATCTGATATTGCTTGAAATGAACTCTTTTAAAGTAATTTATATCCCACAAACACACACAGATGCAAGCATATATGTGCCGGCATTCTCAAGAATTTACAACTCCTTAGAGAAACTCTGTCCATTCCTTTCCAAAATGAAAAGTTTTCTGTTGATGTGATGAAAGACTCCTTATTAGGTTCAGGGGAAATGTGTATTTCCACTGATCAATTTCTGAGTTTCCCAGAAGAGGGGAGACACAGAGAAATCCTGAAAACTAATGACCACGAGAGCAGAGTGTATTTGTGCTTTATTGCACCAGTCAGAATCTAAACCACTGAATTGGAGAGTGAGACAAAGGAAAATCTTATTGTGTGTGCGTGTGGGAGTGGGGTGGAGGCGGGAAGAGGGCTGAGCAGAAGATGCTATCTGAGTATACAAAGAGATGAAATCATTTGGACAGATGATCCAAGGAGGCAAATATAATATGTTGTGTTAACTCATTGCTTCAACTTACACTGAGCATCTATTGTGCCCCAGGCCCTGGAGGCACGATGGTTATAGGACAGCCATGAACCATATCCCTAGGGTACTTGCCGAAAGCATGATTCTTAACCAAAGGTCCATGTTTGGGCTTTAGAAGACCTATGAACCCCTCAAAACCTCGTGTTTATAGGTATCTATTGAAGTGGGCAGAAATAGACTAGTATCTTTTTTTTTCTGGGGACAATGTATACAGCAGGGGTCACATTCTCTAAGCCTTCAAGGATCCCCGAAAGATGAGTAAACACGACAGTAGAGTTTGACTTTTTATCCCCTGAAAAGAGTGAACCTGCCGAAGCCAAAACCCAAACAAGCCAATGAGCACAGATAGCTCCCCTCACTTTTGTAAAGTTAAAGAATTATTTTCCACAAAAACTTTAAAACCAGCATGGAGACTGACTCTCATTAGTAATACTGTGCTGCCTATTTCAAAGTTGCTAAGAGAGTAAATCTCAAAAGTTCTCATCGCAAGAAAAGAAATCCTGTGACTATGCGTGGTGACAGATGTTAACTAGATATTGTGGTGATCGTTTCGCAGTATACACAAATGTCAAAACATTATGTTGTATATGTGAAACTAAGATAATGCTGTATGTCAGTTATACCTCAATAAAAAATAATGTCAAAAATTTACATTGTAAAGACAAACCTATACAAAGAAAAACCCTATACTCCAAAGGAGATAAAAAGGCCACTGAGATATAGTGAATGATAGGACACAGTTAAGTGACAAGCTCTTGTATACCTGAGTCGCCATGGCTAGGATCACGCCATTAGAGATAACGGGATGTAATAGGCACATTGCTTATGTCTGTAAAGAGTCCTCAAGAGGCGATAGAGACACAGGCCACAGATCCACCAGGAACTTCCTCAGCACATTCTCCTACCTAGAATTCTCCTAGCTAGGGTCTTCTGAGTGGTTATTACTTGCCAAGCATTATTTCAAGAGCTGTGCCTACAAATTGTTATCATATACCTATTTTGTAAAGATAGGTATTGTTACCAGTCTTATTACAGATGAGGAAACGGAGGCTTAGGGAGGTTTAGTCACTTGGATAAAGTTCAAAGCCAGAAGTTTCCTGCTATCTCTACCCTTTTCCATTAAAAAAAAAAAAGCTATAAATGGCAACACTCACAAAGGTGAGGTCATGCCAGGAAATGAAAGCAACTATATAAACCCAACCAAGACAACACAACACCTGTCTTTCTCATGAGACCATTAACTCATTTAAATAGTATTTGTGAGCTGTTTGTCTCACGGAGAGCAACACCAGGGCCGGGTTTTTGAGCAGTATTAATCTTTACCATTCCAGAACTAGAGGATTTGAATTGAAGTGGTATGGGGGTTGGGGGGAGGGGGAGTGAGGCTGGAGAGGAGCCGGGGAATTATTAAGGAAGTGGGTTTGAGGCCAACTGCACAATTTCAAAAATCCTGGTCAGCACAGCCTGGCAAACTGAAGATTTTTCTTAGCACTCAGGCTGTGTTTCCCCTCTCCGTGCTCCTTATCAATGGCTATTTAAAACAACTTATTTTGACATAATTTCAGACTTACAGTTGCAAGAATAGTACAAGTAATTCCTATAGATCCTTCAACTAGATTCCACATTGGCTTTATCCTTTTCTCTCTAAATAAGCATGTCTCATCGTCTTTTCTTTTTCATGCAACATAATAATGCTCCTTTTCCCCTTCAGGGTATATTTCTCTAAATGAGGACATCCTCTTCCATAACCACAATACAAAAATCAGCAAAATCAGGAAATCATCACCAATAAAATGCTATTAATAACTAATCTACAGCCTAATTCAGATTTCACCAATTGTCTCAATCATGTCAGGAAAAGAAAATCCCAGATCATGCGTTGCATTCAGTTGTCACGTTTCTTTAGTGTCTTTTAATCTGTAACGATCCCTCAGTGCTTCTCTGTCTTTCACAACACAGATGTTTTGTGGAAAAGTATAGGTCAGTTGTCTAGTGGAATGTCTTTCAGTTGGAGTTTGTCTCGTGTCCTGATCAGATTGAGGTTTTGCACGTTTTTGTCAGGAATATCACAGAAGTCATGTTACCCTCTTCTCAGTGCATCATTTCAGGAGGTGGCTTTGTCTTACACCGGTGATGTTTACCTTGACCTCTTGGCTGGGTGGTGTCTGCCAGCTTTCTGTACTGTGAAGTCACTACTTTCTCCCCCGTTTTACATTACTGAATTTAAAACATATATGGGAAACTACACATAACATAAAATTTACCATTTTAATGATTGTAAGTGTCCAGTTCTGTAGCACCAAGTGCATTCACACTGTTGTGCAACCATCATCACCATCTAGAGAGCTTTTTCATCTTCCCCAGCTGAAACTCTGCACCCATTAAACACTAACCCCTCATTCTCCCCTTCCCAGCCCCAGTACTATGCTACTTTTTGTCTCTGTGAATTTGAGTAGTCTAGACACCTCATGTAAGTAGAATCATACAGTATTTGTGCTTTTGTTTAGGGCTTATTTCACTCAGCATATAATGTCCTCAAGGTTCATCATTGTTGTAGGTGTCAGAATGTCTTCCTTCTTAAGCCTGAAATACTCCACTGTATGTACACACCACATGCAGCTCATGCAGTCATCTGACCACGGACACTGGGTTGCCGCCGCCTTTTGGCTGTTGTGAATAATGCTGCTATGAACCTGGGTGTGAGACTATCCACTTTCCCTTCTTTTGGACATATATCCAGAAGTGAAATTGCTAGATCATGACTTTTCTCTTACTAATTTATAAGTTTCTTATGGGAATGATTCTTTGAGACTATATAAATATCCTGTTATTCCTCACAAGTTCACCCACTAGTTTTAGCATCCCTTGATCCTCTGAATCAATTATTCTGATGTTGCCAAAAGGTAATTTCCTTTCCATTATTCCTTCTACATTATTAGTTGGCATTCTACTGTAGGGAAGAAATTTTCCTTATCTCCCATTTATTTACATATGGACTCATTTTATTCAATGGATTATAATTCTTTACTCCATGGACATTTTATTGCTCTGAGCGATTCTTTTCCATATAATCCCCAAGATCACAAGTTTGGGGAAATGACAGAACTTTCTGGATTTCCTCGTCACCATCGAGAAAGCCCAGCATGCAACCTGACTTACCTAAATCGAGAGGATCACTTTCCTGCCCACGCATTCCTTTAAAGTTTCTGGATAGCGCCCGCTGAAACCACTTGGGCGGCCCCGCCCCAAGAAAACTACGTTTCCCAGAGGCCTTGGGGGCTTGCGTCATCAGTGAGCGCGGCTTTTTGCTGGTGAAGCCGGCTTTGGAGAGCCCGCTGTGGCGGCGGCAAACATGGCGGACGTGCTAAGTGTCGGAGTGAACCTGGAGGCCTTTTCCCAGGCCATTAGTGCCATCCAGGCGCTGCGCTCCAGCGTGAGCAGGGTGTTCGACTGCCTGAAGGATGGCATGCGGAACAAGGAGACGCTGGAGGGCCGGGAGAAGGCCTTCATTGCGCACTTCCAGGACAACTTGCATTCGGTCAACCGGGACCTCAAGTAGGTACCGGCTGGAGGGGCCGGAGTCGGGGTCGGGGACGGCCCGGCCCCCACCCTGTCCTGACCCCGCGCGAGTCTCCCCATTCACGGGCTGTCCTCCCTTCCATTGCTCCCTTGCCCTCTTTCTCTCCTCTCCAAGCCTCCGCCTGTCCCTCAGGGACTCCTCCGCTTTCTCGTCTCCCTTCTCTTGGCCTCCTCGTCCTGGCTGCCTCCCCCCGCCCTGGACCCCTTCTGGGGTCGTTCCATTCCTCAGGAGGAGACATGTTCCCCCCGTGAACTTCAACGCTTCTCATCTCAGCTAGGCAGGTTTCTCACCTGTAGGCCCTCTGTGCTCCATCATCAAACTGCACGGATCGTGCAAACAGGACCTGATGAGCCCTGCCCCAAACCCAAGCACACCTGGTCTGATTGGCCCTAATTCCTCGCCCCTGAACCCGGAATTCATCGTATCCTACCCCCAGACAGGACAGAGCGCCTTGATCCATCTTCCCGCCTTCCCCCTGCCTTTCCAAAACCCCCTGATCAGTGCTCACTCCCCCTCTCCCTGCTCCCGTTCAGTTCCTTCCTCAGAGAGCGCTGGTGTCAGGTTCACCAGCTTAATCGCTTAGGCGTACCCCCAATCCCCGAATTAGCCTGTGGCCCTTTAGGGTGAAGGATTGCACATTCCTTTCTCTGCCTTACAGGTTACCTTTTTTACTTCTGTATTATAAGTGGTGGTGTAAGAATGAAGTGGGACAGTGTGTGTAAAACGCTTGGCACATAGTAGGCACTCTTTAATTGGTTCGGTCCTCAGCTTGTCTCCCCTTCCTTAGGAGAGTCAGCCTTTTCCAGGGAGGTTAGAATTTCGGGGTTGTAGCCTTTTATTTCTCGGAACTGACCTTAGCAAGGAAAGGCATTTGGTGAGCTAGCTATGAATTGTGGGGTGGTTGGATTTTTTTTTTCTTTCTCAACTTGGTCTCCTTAGTAACCAGATGGAAGGAGGAGGTAGAATGGAGGAGGAGGTGGTGACCAAATGATAGGTGCCTCTTTTTCCCCTCCTAAGTAGTTGCCATTTTTTTTGAGGGAAAGCCAGGAGACTGCTCACCCCTTCCAAACGCCCACATCCACTTGCTGTTGTCTGGCCCCGTGCCAGTTAATACTGTCTCTGCTCTAGGGGATGTGCTGGTTCTTTCCACGCTTCCATTTCCTGTCGGATTTGCTTCCCTCTGTAAAGTTGAGGATGTTATTGTCCTTCAGCACTTTAGAAAGTTTAAGAATGTTTACGTTACCCCTGTGTCTTCTTAACTCTTTACACAGTAGTGCCAAGAGGAAGGGGGCTGAAGACGCCAAAGTCAGTGTGTTCTGAGAAGCTGTTCCTAGAGTCTTGTGTTGACAGTTGGGGACTGGTGGCCCCTCTGAACGCACTCCTGGAATGTGCTTTTGCTGTTGGCTCACTTTCCTCAGCTTACCTCGAGTTTTCCTGCTAGACTGAAGTGTGTTTGTTTGACACAGCCCCCTTGGTGGCGTCTTCCCATTCCATTTGTTTATTCTGTCTCTTCTTTGTTTTAAGTTTTACCATCTGTGAGGCACTATAGACAAATCTATCCCTTTGTGAATGATAACTAATCGTTTATTCAGGTGCTTGCTGTTCTGCCAAATGCAAGGATCTGCATGTGGGTCTGAAAAGCCTTAGTGAGAAGCAGTGTTGTACCACATTTCAGAGTTCCTCAAAGTCTCCTCCCGCCTCGCAGAGAATAATACAAGTCGTTACATCCCGATTTTAGGAGTCTTACTGATTCCAGTGCTTGTAACTTTTTTTTCCCCTCCTTTGGAATGGCATTAGAGAGCTCGTTTATTATTATTATTATTTTTATTGGGGAATTGGGGAAGGGGAACAGCCAAGTTGTTGTTCTTCAATCTTAGTTTTGGAGGGTGCAGCTAGCTCAGCTCCAAGTCCAGTCGTGTTGCTCAGCTCAAGGTGCCGTGTTTGATTAGTTGAGGGTGGGCGTAGCCACCATCCCATGCGGGAGTCGAACCGACAGCACGCTCTATCCCCTGAGCCACTCAGGCAGCAGCTCAGCTCAAGGTGCCGAGTTCAGTCTTTAGTTGCGGGTGGGCATAGCCCACCAGTTGAACCAGCAGCCTTGTTGTTAGGAGCACGTGCTCTCACCAGCTGAGCCATCCTGCCACCCGTTGGCAGCTCAGCTCGAGGCACAGTGTCACTGGCCCATGTGGGAATTGAACCGGCAACTCTGTTGCTCAGAGCTCGCGCTCTTGAGCAAGCTCTTAACCAACTGAGCCACTCGGCTGGCCCTAGAGAGCTCGGTTTTAAAATAAGATAAGCATCCAGTTAGAGGTTTTCTTGACTGTCCTGAACCTTTTTCACCTTTCAAAAAGGTATTTTCTTCTTAAGGGACTTCTGACGGACCCCCTGAAGAGCAGCCTCTGACCAACATGGTGGGCTAAACACTGGAGTGTCAGTGGACTCAGGTGTATTTGCTTTGTCTGTTTACTTTTCAGTGAGCTGGAACGGCTGAGCAATTTGGTAGGCAAGCCATCCGAGAACCATCCTCTCCATAACAGCGGGCTGTTGAGCCTGGATCCCGTGCAGGACAAGACTCCTCTGTACAGTCAGCTCCTCCAAGCGTATAAATGGTCCAACAAGGTAAGGGTGACATGTCAGAAATGGAGCTAATGTAGGGAAAGCCAAGTTTTCTTATATTTCATAAATGCAGAAGGTGAGGGTAAGTTTTTGTGTTTTTTTTGGTCTTGATTCAGGATGGGGGTACAGAGTTGGAAGTTTTAGCATTTCCCTATGAGCTGTTGAGTGTAGTCCTTTGAAGTTTTTGAGGCTTATTCATGATGCTCAGGGTAATTCAATTTAAAAAATCTAAGTCAGGTGTATTTAACCTGGAGTCTGGCTATAGTAAACAGCTTTTATGAACCCCTTGAAATTATATGTGAAATGTGATATGTGCATTTTTTTGTGGGGAAGACTGGCTTTCATCAGATTCCCAGAGGAGTCCTGACCCCCAGAAGGTTAAGGACCGGTGCTCTAAGTGCTCAGCCGCTTGCCCTGCTTATGTTCCTCGTACTATCTTTCCCCCTGTCGTCGATGGAAGAACATCACCAGAGTACCATTTGTTCGATTACTCTCTGATTATTTTAGACCCCGTCTGAGGAGGTGGTTCTAAACGTGCTCCACAGAATTTGCCGCTCATGGCTTCCTTCAGCAGGTGGACCCATGGCAGAGACCCCAGGACAGCTCTAAAAGGAAATCCAAACTGCACTCTAAAAATAACAGGAACGATTAGGCTCAGAAGCCTGGAAACAATTTGTTACTGACAAGTTTTCTTTGTTTGGGTGCCGTGGGTTGTTGTGTATTATTATTATTTTTTTTTCCGCTGATAGAGAACTAGAATATATGTTCAGAAGGATTTTGGAAGCGTTTCTCATTCGTCTGTCCTGCCTCCCTGGAGACAGTTATTCTCACAGTTACTGGCTGTGAGTCGCTCAGGCCCTTCCAGTTTCTCATCGTGTTCGATCCTCTTCTGTGATCCTTTCCCTGCTTACGTCTTGGATGACAGATGAGCCTTGACAGTTTTTCCTGTGTGCAGGCTTTTTTCTTTGACTTTGTCTGTGGGAGTATATAGTATTTTTTGGTTAGAGGTGGAACCCTGGAAGCTGAGTCTGAGATGCAGGGAGAAGGGATTGATCATGAGGAACTGAAGAAAACTTGACCTCAGACGCTTACGTTTGGCCTATAAGGCTTGTTCTGCAAACTCTGGGCTGCCGGTGACAGACTCTAAATTTGGGCTTGAGGATCCGGGTGCCCAGCTGGCGTGGGGCTCTGGCACTCTCTTGCCCCCTCTAGGCCTGCTGTCCTGTGTTGGGCTGATGCTCTTCAGGTGGTAGAAAAGACAGCCTGGCAATTGTAGGTTTGCATTGTCCTTATACCAAGTGATGTCCTGGTGTCCACATCAGGCTCTGGAAGAGGATGCTGGGCCTGCTTGGCAGGTGGTCCCTGAGACAGTCATTATGTCCGGGAGGTGAGAGTTTTTTGATTGGCCAACACGGATCACCTGAAGCACAGGAAGTGGGGCTCCTTGGAGTTGGAGGTGAGAGTGCCCAAAAGGAGGGGATGCAGGGCAGACAGAAAAGTTACATGTGTCTGTCGCAGTTGCCAAGGCCACACGTGAGACTGAACCAGCCCCACACACACAACACTGTCCTAGCAGGCGGCCTGTGTCTGCTTCCTTGTTTTCCAGGGGGACTCTTGGTCATCTTAACACATCGGGAAGATTTAGGCTGATCTCAAAACTACAAGTGACGCGGACTTCCAGTGGAAGGGACTGGTTTTAAGTTGAAGTGATGATACTTAACTTTTGAACGAAGGTAGTTTAATTGTTTGCTGAATTTAATAGTTTGAGTATTGAGATAGAAGTTCCTGCCCCTGACCCCCACCCTTGCCCCAAGATGGAAAAGAGGTTGTATTAAGGCAAAGAAATATGCATATGGAATTTCTTGTCCTGGTGATGCTGAAGATTAAACATAGATGTAGAAACTGATCAGACAGTATATCCCGCGGGAGCAGTGGAGGGATGTCGGGGTTTCAGTCATTTCCTGGAGAGCGACTCTCCTGTCAGGTGACTGCTCTCCTACCAGCTCCCTCGGCCCCGCAGAGACCGGATTGGGGCTGCTCGTATTAGTCATGGTAGAAATGAAGAGATCTTTTGTTTAATCCCTTACTTTATGGCTGAGTAAACTGAGGCCCAGTGAGCCGACTGGCTTGTGGCTCCACAGCTAGACTAGAATTTGCATTTCCTGTCTTAGGTCAGCTTTCCTCTAAAACTTGATAGTTTAATCCAGTTTGGTTTAAGATTTTTGACTATAGAAAATAGTCAGAAAATAGGCTTAAGATTTTTGACTATAGCCCTCCCTTAACTTACATCCTAGAAACCATTCATATGTTACATTTTATTCATGAATCTGCATTTTACTAATTTTAAATGGTTTATTGAAGGATGGTAATGGCAAATACATGGTCCATGGGTCCGCAAACTATTGGTCTTGTCCAGGGCAGACATCACTAATCAACTGCTGCATTCTTCCCTGCCGAGGCTGCGGATGGGCTCACAACCCTCTGTTCTGGGGCTCAGCAGCCCCTGCCAATGACTCAGAGGTGGGCTGCAGGGAAGACATGTTTTATTTCTGTTATGGTACACGATGTCCTATTTGACTATGACTTGATTCATATCTTACCTGACTCTAGAAAGGGTTTAAGGTAGATTATAAAAATATATAAAACCCTGAAAGAAAAGAGGAAAGCAGGTGTTAGGATGTCTTATGTACATTTCTTAACAAACTTGGGAAATAACCCCAAGAAATGAACCAGTATTCTAATTTCCAGCTGTGGATATGGACGCTGCAAGCAATTGTATGTGTTTATCTTGCTTCTCCTACAAATGAAAGAGCTTTTTAATTGCTAAGGCTTTCAGCATGCATCATTTTACCCTCAAAGAGTTTAAACCAGCGAGTGCATTAATATGTTAAGTGAAGTTTGGGAGAACTTGCCTCAGCTTTAGGCACTGTGGGCGAAGAGTTGAGCGCAGTGTGGGAAAGGCTTTGATACCACCCATTCTACGATGAGCTTTCTGTTTTATGTGCTGTTGGCCAGAGAAAAGTCTCATTTATGCCTCATGACTAATTATTTTCTTTAGGGGATTTGGTAATTTTTGTCAAGTCAGTTTGAATATTAATTCCATGGCAGTTGGCATAATTGTTAGGATAACACGTTTAAAAATTAATCTAATGAAATGGTGTCAAATTGCTGTGAGCAGCACTTTTTCCATGCTGAATTGGGGAAAGAATCGTGCTCTGAACTCATGCACCTATAGGTGATGGTTCAGGGGTGCCAGGCTCTGTTGATGAGGGCAGAAAATAATTGGCATCAGCACAGCTCCTGCTGGAAAATAGTCAGTGTACACTTTATGTCGCTTATTATGCTCAGAGGTGCTGCGAGTTGGACCTTCAGAAGGTCCCTTTCTGAAGGTTTCCAGCATCCTGCACCCAGGCTTTTATCTGCGACTTTGGCTTTTTTCATGTTTGTGGCAGAGGCTTCTTGCTTATTTGCCTGCAAAGCAGACTAAGACTTCAGCCCTTCTCGGGTGGTGTGTGAAGCAGAGAGCCCAGGGGTCTCTTTCTCCTGGGAGTGGGGGGCGGGCCCAGAGAAAGCTGCCGCTGCCCTTTATTTGCTTTTACACGCTTCATTTTACATTTTTGTTAGAGAAAGAGCACCGTTTTGTTGGAAGGAAATTCCTTTTTATTTCCAGCTTATTCAGTTGGAAAGTCTGAAGACATTTCCTCCGTTCTTCGCTCCTGAGCTGCTCTTATCAGAACCTACTTACTGGCTCTCTGTGACTGTAACACTCGTCTCTCAGATCTGTCCTGGAAGGGGCCCTTTCTGTTTCGGCACCACCAACAGGGTGGGGTGGTCTCACCTGCAACACCGAGCCTTTTTCTGTAAGGACCCTGTCTCCTCTGAAGCTCCCGAGGAGAGAGGTACTCTGTCTCGTTCCTGCCCGGAGTCCCCAGCACCTAGCAGGGTGCCTGGGGTGCAGTAAGCATTCAGTTAAAATGCCTTGAATGGACAAAGGATAAATAAGAGCTTTTACTGTTGAATTTTTCATTTACAAGCCCTTTTGTGGTTTGCTTGCTTGTATTTTTGATGAAGTGCGATAAGGGCATTTCCATTTTCGGCCATTACTGAGAAATCTGTTGGGTTGTCGGAAAAGTCATGACGTATTTTTTCTGTGTTTTTCATTGCAAAAATGCGTCATGACTTTTCCGACAACCCAATAGTTGTGCCACTTGGAGAGAAAATTCTGAGATCCTGTGATGGTGGCCAGGGCTGGGTTTCAGAAGGGTAATTTGGAAGGACAGGGTGAAGTCAGTTGGTGAACTGATGATAAGCTCTTTGAGGGCTGAGGTTAGCAGTTTTATCTAAGTCGTTTGTCACCCGCTGTGCCCTTTCTAAGAGCCGGTTGACAGCCAGTGCTTAGGAGAGGCTGGGACTCGGTAGCAGCCTTCCGGAGTTGACTGAATCAGGCTAATTTGAGCTGCTGCACCTGATGTCAGGTGTTCTGTGGCAGCTGTCGTTTTGGCAGTCCTGTGAAAACTGCTTGGGAAGAGGAGC